TATCTGTGTTTAAACTAAACTCGTGTAAGATTTGCCAGTTTAAACATTTAAGAGCCAGAGGACGCAGTGAGAAGATTTGTGCGTGCGCTCATCCGAAGCGTGCAAACCCGCTCCTCAGAACGCGCGCAAATATTAAGCTCTCTCTGAAGTATTGTGTTTAAATGGACAAATGCACACAAAAATTGTCAAAATGCCGTCTTGGTAAGTATCCTATAGCAGACCGCAAACCGTGACTCTAAAACCGTGATACAAACCGAACCGTGAGTAGGCTAAGTTGAACGTTCCACCCCTAATTTCTTTCTTTCTGCATTGTGTTTCATTAAACCATCTTTCTGACCCTGAGCAGATCCACTCGACCACTCAACATGACATTTAAATTATGGAGAAAAGAAATGACGATCCTTTGTATCTGACTGAACTATTATTAAAGCTAGAACATTTAATGATATGGCATTTTATATTGGGTGGTACTGTTATATATTTATTCATAATTAAAAAAAATAAGTTTTCTCAATTATTATTAGAAGAGTTATTTAATTTAATATTAGTCCAATAAGAAAAAATTGCATGTAAAAAATGATTTAATATAAAGCATACAATAATTAATTTAAATGTTATTGTTATTCATTTTATAGGTGTATTTATATTTCATATATATGAAACACATATTTATTTATTTGTTTTTGTTTGTTGAATTATTTATTACATTTAGACATCATGCATTCCACATAATTTATTATTAGAATGATAATTATTATACGTAATAATTAATAATCACTTCAATTATAAAAAAATACTGTTTATTGCATTTAGTAGTTGCCACCACATTGGTGGCATCAGCTACCCGTTGAAAAAAAATCGTTATAAGGCGCTCATGATCAGTGTAGTCAAAATAATAATTACTAAAAACAGATGGATTTTCACATTTGTTCTACAATTTAATTAATGTGCAATGTCATTGATGTAGTCATGTAAAAATGCACAAATGCATTGACAGAAATACAGCATCTGTCGATTTTAAAACACATAGATGTATAGCGCTTAATAATATGGGCAGGTCAGCCATATGCATCAGTAATAATTACACTTTCATTTTCAGTAATAAGTGCACTTTCTTTTTTCTGCATTAGTGGAAACTGCAGTCTGAGGAGTCAAGCCTCCTGATTTGTTCACCTTTCTGATTATGCAGCCTCACATCAGTGGAAGCAGATGGCCAATCAAGTGAGAGAGTCTAAAATTAATTCACATATGCATGCATGCACATATGCAGTGCCAAGCTGACTATATGAACATGTCATATGTCACTGAGCTACTGCTTTCCACTAATTTGAATTTACATAAAGAGCATGAATAGTTGAATCAGTTGCAGCAATGCTCCACTTCTCAAGCACTGCACACATTGCTACTTATTCCTGTCCTTTATTGTTTTCTCTCACTTCCTTCCTGTGCATATATAATGAGCTATTCAATGGGATGGAATATGTGTGAACATTACATCTATTATGTATAAAGAAGAAACATTAAAAAGGAAAATTAGCTATTTTCAGTTAGAACTTTCCAAAGTCAACATTCCAGTTAAGGAAATCATACAAAAAAGCTAAAATGACTTGATTGCTGTGATAGTGGTAGAAGAAATTGTTTGTCTTCCACTACAACTTTGCAATAAAATTACAATATGGTGTTTCAGTAGTTCTTAGCAAAAATATTTATTTGATTTATCTGATCTACTGATAGAACTCATTGTTTAACAATCATAAAACAGACTGAACTCTCTGTGTCAGATTAGAATTACAGCAAATAAGCAAGTGTAAAAATTAGGCCATGGATTTGTGTGTGCCATTTCTCTTGGCCCGTATTACAGCAGAGCTCAATTGGTATTGCTAATCCACAGTGTCTTTAGATTGTAATCCCTAGCTGGAATTAAGGACACTGGAAAGGACTTTTACACAGGAATAAGACCAAAAATGATCTTATGTCATTAAGTCTACTAGATCTAATATTGTAGTTGTTCATTTGGGTGATGTCCATTTGGTCGATCTCGTCAGGGTTCAACAACAAAAAGAGCTTAGATGTCTCCTTTTGTTGTTTAAACGACATGAATTGTGGAGCAATAGTGAGGATTGAATATGGAACATTAATCTCTAATCTTAATGTTAGTTTTGCAATAACAAAACACTTTAAAATATATATATATTTTTTTTATCGCTGATCATCTGGATTTTTGTATTTTTAATAAAATAAAGCATCTTAGTACATGTTAATGTTGATCCTAAATACAGACTGAACAATTGTTTGTTGTGAATTTATGAGGAGCAAAAAGGCTGACAATTTAATAATAAATAATAATAATACATAATGCAAAAACATGGTCATGAGACAGAGAAAGTGTGTCTTTATTTTGTCTCACAAAAAATAACAGTATCTCTTTATTGAGAGCTTTTCAGTGCATAAATGGATAGCAATGTGGCTCCTTTGTCCTTGAGAAAAGGTGGAGAGGAGAAAAGATGAAAGGGAGAGATTGGCAATAACATTTCAATTACTGCTTGGCAAAGAACAAGGCAACGGCCCAACACAGGTGCAGTTTTCATGATCTCAATGAAAAGCAGAGCTTGGAAGAACAAGACTCAACAGACAAAGTTTGTTGTGTTAACTAGAGAAATCGTGTGTCATGCTACCAACTGTACTGAAAATGACCCCCCGTCGAGGACTTCAGTATTAATATTAGATTGTAGTATAGTGGGTTTTTTTTTTTTTGCTAGGCCAATGTTTTTATATCAATTTCTTCAGGTGTTAGCCTGTTTGTATGATCTCCTGAGACAGAAAATGTTTTTAAAGAGTGTTGACAGTAAACTGTGAGTCACTTGGTTAGCCTCACACATTGCCACTTTCACTGCAGCTGTTGTTGTTATTGCTTTAGACCAGTGTTTCCCAACCGGGGTGCCGTCTGTCGCGAGCAGGGCTTTTTTAATTTTTTTAAATTGCTACAATTTTCAAAAAAGCAGCTATTATATAATATCCATTTCTGATGTAGCCAATAATTAGAGATGCACCGAAATTCCGGCTGCCGAAAATTAGTTCACCACTCAGGCGTCACTTTCACGGTGCCACAAATTTGTTACAATTTCCAAAGGGTGCCGCGACTAAAGAAAGGTTGGGAAACACTGCTTTAGACAACAGAGTCCAAATACACTTTCTGGAATTTGGAAAGAGGGCGTCATTATTGTGGCACGTTGCTCTGGATACTTCACCTGTGAGTCATTCATCCAAATCATTCTGTAAATAACCTTCATACTTGTTTCATATCTGACATGCTTCACATGGTCAGAGAATCAAGAAGAGTGGCATTTTTATAGCTTATTTCAGTGGATCTTTACTGGTCGGTCGCAACCCAAAAATGGGTTGCAGCAGGTCTGTTCTGATAAAATGCAGCTAATTAAGATAGCAATAAAAATATTTTTGTGCAGTGAATTATTGGCTGCCAAGAGCACGAAACATTTAGAAATTCAATGGATGTGTAGAAACCGATTTTTTTTTCACTTCTACTGTTTAGCCTATATCATGTTAATAATTTCGCATATTGTTGGGCTTATGCAATTTATGGTCAAATTAATTACTCGGATTTTTAAGTGCATTTTGTTTCATTTTTGGTATTGTAAACAATGTTGGTGTGTTGATGTCCAATGTAAAATACTAGTCCGAAGCAAAACCAGTTAAGAACCACTGCATTATTCTATAGCCAAAATAATTCAGCATAACCGTTAACAGACAGTGTAGTGGACAAGTCTGGTGCGGCGTTAGGGAAATATTTGTTTCAATATATATCTTGGAAACAGTGCAATTCAGCATCACAATGGCAATCTAATGGGAGGTTACCTCATTCAGGTCTATAATGCTTTTGACATTTAGAGCAAGAAACTACTTACCCTAAGTGCACATCGCATTATGAGCAACACACTTAAGTCACCCTGCAGACAGCATATATTTAATGTAAGAAGCTTTTAATTTGGACTTACATTAATTATTTACCTCCAGTTATTAGCATTACAGTGAGTGCAGCATTGTATAGGCCTATATCATGATACAAAAGCATTGTGACACTTACAGACACTATGCATTCTGTGGAATCCTGTAGTGTTCGTGGGTGGCCAAATGGCACGTTAACATTGCCTAAAACATTCACTTTACTGTTTCTCTTGGACATGCCATTAACCGCAGATAACCAAATTAAGGGCTTATATTGTAGATCTATTTTCTAATGCCTGTGTAAAAATGTCGTTGATTATGACGTGCACACTCGATGCAAATTAAATAACCTGTAGCCTAGGCTATAGCTAGTCGAAATGCGATATAATTTCTGTGCAAAACATGCACAGAAAACAGCATTGTAAACAGCAGCACCATGAATAGCCTACATCTAGTGACTGCAATCACAGCTAAAAAGGGGGGAAAAGAGTCCACATACAAAATTCTAATGTAGTGCTCTTTGTGTTGCAGGTACAACCAGCACACCTCAACGTGTAAGCTATTTCCTGCGAATGTGTGAGATTCATTAGCCATTTTTTTGCTGCGGCGCCCGGGAGCAGTTGGGGGTTCGGTGCCTTGCTCAAGGGCACCTCAGTCGTGTTATTGAAGGTGGGAGAGAGCGCTGTACATTCACTCCCCCCATCTACAATCCCTGCCGGTACGAGACTCGAACCCGCATCCTTTGGGTTACGAGTCCAACTCTTTAACCATTAGGCCACGACTTCCCTACATAGACTTATACGACAGTGCGCTCTTTTGTAAACATATAAACGCCATATAAACATCTGCAGAAAAACTGCTAAGCACAGTCAAACAAACAGCAAGGGTTTCACTGCTGTCTGTAACATAACGGTCCCTCATTCTCATCAATGGATCTATTTCCAGCCCTCAATTGCTTTGCAGTGATGATGTAATAGCGCGAGCGGAACGCGCACTATCCGCTGCAGCATCCGGGTCCCAAACAAACCAATCCGCGCAGAGAGCGAGGTGTTCTAACGCGAGGCTCCGGTAGCCCCCCCTCGGGAAAACAAAAAACCGGAGCCAGCCCAGAAATGCCCCACCGCCCAGCTGCGGACTGCCTTAACGGGCTCATGTGATGCTTTTCATATGTTTATAATTTTATTTATTATTTTCGTAATCGTTTTCTGGCAGTTTTGACGTTAGTTTGCGTGCTAATTGGCTAGCCATCGATTGATGGGTGTTGTGGCTGTGAACGCTGGTTTATAGTGTTTGCTATCTGGCCCAGCATACTGATATTAAGGCTCTTACCCGCGGCTTTGGTGCCTCGTTGTTTCTTCCTCCAGCAAAGACCACGAAAAAGCTGGGTAAGTGATATTATGTCAGTCTGACGTACATTAAATATTGGAGCTAGCCTCTTAATGCTATCAGGCTGTGCAGCAGTTCGCATATGCTGATAAGGGCAGTGGCTTCATTAGTAAACACATCACAGTTGCTTTAACGTCATATAGGTTTGTTCATTTTGCTGCATTAGCGTCCAAAAGGCTTTTTTTTTTTTAAGGGAAGCTAAAATCTAAACAAAAGTAGGTTTGTAGGCAAACAAGTTTACTCCATTGACGTAATAAAAAACATTTATCTAAACAGTTTACTTGCTACTGGAAGCCTGCTGCACCTGTGGCTTATCAAATAAATCATCATACCATATTCATCAGAGGTGTCAATATGTTGTAATTTTGTCAGTGTTGGGTGAATGAGAGTCACTTATGTCATAATGGTGCACATTTACTCGTTTTGTTTTGCGGTTGTGTTTGTGCCAGAGCAAAATAAGAAGAATGGGTGCGTTCTTAGACAAGCCAAAGATGGAGAAGCACAATGCTCATGGGGAGGGGAACGGCCTGCGCTACGGACTCAGCAGCATGCAGGGCTGGCGTGTGGAGATGGAGGATGCACACACAGCTGTAATAGGGCTGCCTTATGGCCTCAGCCTGTGGTCTTTCTTTGCCGTCTACGATGGGCATGCAGGCTCTCAGGTTGCTCGTTACTGCTGTGAGCATCTGCTGGAACACATCACCAGCAACCCGGACTTCAGGGGAGGCTGCTCAGGGGGTGGGGACTCAATTAATGCTGAACCCTCCATGGAGAGTGTGAAATGTGGAATCCGCACAGGCTTCCTGCAGATCGACGAGCACATGCGGGCCATGTCCGAACGCAAGCACGGGGCAGACCGCAGTGGTTCCACGGCGGTGGGTGTGATGATTTCCCCTCATAATTTTTATTTCATCAATTGTGGTGACTCCAGAGCCTTGCTGAGCCGCAAGGGTCGCGTTCACTTCTTCACCCAGGACCACAAGCCCAGTAACCCCCTGGAAAAGGAGAGAATCCAGAACGCAGGTGGTTCTGTTATGATCCAGAGGGTCAACGGCTCCCTCGCCGTCTCCCGTGCTCTTGGTGACTTCGACTATAAGTGCGTACATGGGAAAGGCCCCACTGAGCAGCTGGTGTCCCCGGAGCCAGAAGTGTATGAGATCGAACGCTCTGAGGCTGAGGATGAATTTGTGGTGCTGGCCTGCGATGGCATCTGGGACGTCATGGCCAACGAAGAACTGTGTGATTTTGTGCGTTCACGCTTGGAAGTGACAGAGGACCTGGAGAGAGTGTGTAATGAGATCGTGGACACATGTTTGTACAAGGTAAGGTCAATTCGAGTTGGATGCTAATGGGTCATTTTTACTTGCATCTATTAATTCGATCAAAAATGCATTAAAATGCTATTCATACATAAAATTACTTAAATCCACCATTATGGAAGTGTTTTTAATTTCTACATTTAAATTAATTTTGGAAAGAGGTATTGATGCATTAATAAATACAATGGTCCCTGATATCAAAATAGAGGGGGAAAAGTCTCATTAAAAAATAAAAATATTGAAAAGAAAATGTTTAAGTTGTTTGACATAATTTTTTATTATCATTTCTCAGGGAAAAATCCTGCTTCACTGCTTATTAATATTTGAAAAGCTTTCATCCACCAAAACAAAGTCATGTGGTGCAACCAACATGCAGAAGCATACAGAGGAAAAAAAACAACAAAAAGGAAATTATATCAGACCCCTGTAGACCCTCATGATTGTGTTTCTTTAAAATATCAGAAACATTGACCTGTTTATGACAAGACAAAGTTAGTTCACATTGTAAAATGTCATGTGGTGCGACTCCCCAAAAATGTTGATGAGATATTATTTAAGTAATTTATAATTTGTAAATAATATTGTTTACTTTGTAAAATCATATTATATTATATAATAAATGTGTATACTTTTTACTTGATGGTTATGACATTTTAGAGGTGGTTCCAACATTGTAATCTGTTATTAATCTAACTTGAGCATGCTTTCTGTGTTTGTGTTTCTCAACAGGGTAGTCGAGACAACATGAGTGTGGTGCTGATATGTTTTCCTGGTGCCCCAAAAATCAACCCAGAAGCCGTGAAGCGAGAGGCGGAGTTAGATAAGTACCTGCAGAACAGAGAGGGTGGAGCATGTAAAAAGGCGAATAAATAAAATATATTACAAAGACTAAGAGAGAGTTATAGAAAGTGAGCATTCTTACTTAATTAGGTGAGTTTCTTAGATGGCAGTTTACACTTGCCAATGAAGTATACGTTACAGTTAACGTAACATTTTCAATTAACGAATCCCCATATTGGAGAGGAAAGACTCACTGGTACTGTATTAGCACAGTTAGGACTATTCGGGATCAAATTTAACCAGAGAGAAATACCACAGTGTGAATTTATTTGAGCTTATATTGATAATTAGAGGCCTTTAATTATTTATTGCCAATATTGAAAAGCACTTACACAATTTAGAGGTAACCTGTAGCTTTACCAGAGGTTTTATTGTAGTGCATCCGAGAATCCTCCGCTCCAGCGCATATTACTTAGCATATTATTAGCTACTAAGTGATGGTGAGTAAGTGCAATTGTAGATTATTAAAAAGGAATGATGAAAACCCAACATTTGGCTCTGCACTTTTTCATTAAACGCTGCTATACTTAAAGGCATCTTCTATTAATAAGAGAAAGACCAAATTTGAGATCTCAGTTAGAATTCAATATGTTAATGTGTTCGAACAGAATTAATACAAAGTGTAGTTTTGCGTTCTGTTTGTGACAGTGTGTTCTTCAGATAGTTGTTTTCATCCACTTGTACAAGCATGTGTTTAAGTCTGGCACCCGTTTCATTTGCATCTTTCTGAAAAGTTGTTCTAAATGAGAGTGAATGTCAGGCCTCCACTGCTGATTACCTGAAATTGTAGCTGACACTGCTGTACGTGGCCTGATGGTGCAGTTTTGTGTCCACAGCAGTGGCCATGAGCATTTTAATCCGCATGATTCCTGTTCTGTAATATGGAACATTGTTGCCTTAGTCCTAATTTACAGTGACTACCTTGATTAGAATCGATAGGTTAGCACTTGGTATCCAACCCCAACTGCTTGAAAGAGTAAAATTAAATCCAGTGGACACATAGTACTGAAAGCATGCACTGTACCGATAGCACGATAAGTTGTGTACACCTCCTGCATGTACGCTACATTAAGAAAAAACAGGGATAGATCTTATTTAGAATTAAGTTGGTCTGACAGAAGTTTTATACTTTGTACAGTATACATTTGTAACCCCTGAGGAACAGCTTCCGTGTGAACTGAACGCAGTGTTTGAAAGATTGTGTCAATGTTTTACAATCCTCTCCGAGTTGTTTACTACTTGTTGCCTCAAACAGACACTTTGTCAATCCTCTGGTTTGTTTATGTAACTATTAAGAAAAACTCATTTAGTTAGGAAATTCTTGGTGCATAGAGTGGGATTCAGCCTGCCTGCACTTTTTGAGATGTAGATCCTTGTTGGTACAATGATTAAACATTTATAGTACAATGGTACACTGCTTTTGTGTCTGTAAAACCCAACAGGATTTGGCTTTTTGTCCTTTTGTACCTAAGATTTTGGAAGCCTTTCATTTAATTTTCATATTTTTGAACCTTTTAGACTTGTCCAAACGTGGCGTAACTCGACAGGATTTTAGCGACAAGCAATTTGTGTAATGTTTAATGGATAGTTCACTTAAAAATGAAAATCATTTACAAAAAATCATTTAAAATCATTTACGTTCCAAACTCATAGAAACCCATTGAAAACTTGCATTAGATCCCATTATCTTTCATAATATGGACAAAAACACCTTTCATTTTTAAAGTATCTTCTTACGTAGAAGAAAATTAAAAACATCACTTTGAGGTTTGGAGTAAATGATGATAATTTTCATTTTTGAGAGAACTATCCCTTTTAAATGAGGCGTGACGCAATGCAATCAATCACAAAACCTGGCCAATCAGAACAGCTCCCACTGTTTCAGAATGTGTGAATCCGTTCCTCCTAGTCCATGTTTGATGTTTAATATATATGAAGTTGATATACTTGAGCAGTACTTAAAGGGATAGTTCACCCAAAAATGAAAATTACCCCATGATTTACTCACCGGCATGCCATCCTACTCTAAGTGTATATGACTTCCTTCTTTCAGACAAATACAATCAGAGTTATATAAAAAAAAATGTCCTGGCTCTTTCAACGGTGCTGGATCTCCGGCATGCAGTGTTTGGCTGAGGAAAAAAATAATCCTACATTTAAAAAAAAAATTTTGGATATCCATTTCGAGTCAATGAATTCGTCTACCAATGGTATTAGAGGAGCACAGCTTTCACTCTCAACCAAACTAACATTACTAGCCAATCAGAATGTTTTGCTCTTATAAACACGAGATGCGCATAATAGTATCCAATTGCAGAGTCGCAGCCTTGATGAATGGAGAAGCGCGACAAAAAGCTGCGAGGCGCAGTGGTCAAAGATGTCCATCTAGCGCATATTTACATAGAAAAACTAATTAAAAAGCAGCTGAGTTTTGTAAACAGCTCAGAGTAATCACGTCATCTCCATAAGAATGATATGATTGCCAGAACAAATTTACCGGGATTTTTGAAAAGGTCCTGTTCACACATGATCTCTTAATGGTAACTTACCGGTGATTTATCAGTAAAGACTGTATGTGTGAAAGGGGCTAAACTCTTCCTCTGCATATGCTGTGAATTTGAATTGCTTAACGTTCATCTGAAAAAAAAAGTGTGCATTATCTCACTAGATTTGTAACGTAAATCATTTATAGACCTTTGCCTACACAGGAGAATACATCAACCTATGTCTAAATATGCCACGTATTGTACATCGCGATTTCAAAATAAAAGTTTCTACATGTGGCCAAATATTAAAATTTAATGGATTTAAACATCGTTTAATCACACTGTAAAGTGAAACGTCACCAGGCCGTACTTAAGTTGGTTATGTTCATATTGTGCATAGGCATACATTGTGTATTTTAACAGTGTTGTTCAATAAAACCATGTAGTTACTTGGTTTTGATATTTTATTTGAGCCAATTATTATTGCCTCATCATTAGTTTATATATACTGTAAATTATATATACTGTTTATTTGTGTTACTAAAAATATCAGATTACTCAATTGTCAAAATAATCAATAGATTACTTGATTACCAAAATAATCATTAGTTACAGCCCTAGTCTAGATTAGTTAAAATATTTCAAAATACAACAGCATTGTTTTACTTTTTGTAATTAAAAGACAAATATTGTGTCATTGAACATTTCTTAAAAATACTATTAAAATATTGTCTTGTTCTAGTGAACCAAGTATCTGTATTTTGTCTCATCTTGTGAGCATTGTCACACCCTTAGTTTCGATAAGCAGTGATATAGCTCATAATTTTCCATGTGTATGATATAACTTTCATTCTTCAGGTCAACCATATATTCATTAAATAAAATCAGTTGTAATAAGGAAAGCAATAACTTTGCCATAGTATCCTTTCAAATGTTAAACTTGCCACAGTCTTTGCATGCTTTGCATGTGCTGCCCCCCGCCCCGCCCCCCGAAAAAAAATGTTCAGGCTCAAGATTTTTTTTTTGCTTTTACCCGTTTCAAGATTTATAATGGCAGTGAATGGGAGTTGAGATTATGAAGTCCAATAAAGTGTGTCCATCCATCATAAAAAGTGCTTCACATGGCTCCGGGGGGTTAATAAAGGCTTTCTGAAGTGAATCGATGTGTTTGTGTAGGAAAAATATCCATATTTAAAACTTTATAAACCGTAATCTCTTGCTTCTGTTAACTGTCGTACGCGTGTTCACGAGAGAGTGGCAGAAGCACAGTGGAGAGAGCAAAACAAAACTCCGGTCATGAATTAGAAGTACAAAAAGAGGATTTGTAAAGAGAAATGTCAGAGGATTTCGATATAAGCCAAGAGGGGACTAGATTTCCTTTGCTGTAAACAAAGCTTGGTTTTCGCAGGACTAGCATGTTCTCCCTGCAGCTCACATTATGCCTATGTGCTAAGTCATCCGCTGGAATGCCACTCTCTCGTGTATCCACGACCACGTACGACAGTTAGCGCAAGCTAGAGATTATGGTTTACAGAGTTTTAAATATGGAAATTTTTCTTACACAAATGCATCGATTCGCTTCAGGGCCTATATTAACCCACCCTGGAGCCGTGTGGAGCACTTTTTATAATGGATGGATGCACTTTATTGGACTTCAAAGTCTCAACCCCCATTCACTGCCATTTTAAAGATGGGAAGATGCAGAATATTTTTTATATGTAGCTCTGTATTTTTTTAAGAAATGGTTGTATTCATCTGAAAGAATAAAGTCCAATACAGCTAGGATGGCCTGAGGGTGAGTAAATCATGGGGTAATTTAAATTTTTGGGTGAACTATCCCTTTAAATCTAGCGAATTGTCAATGTGGACAGGTCTACCAGTGCACCACAAGAGAAAAAGAAATCACATTACTGACAAAATGTACTGTCGGTTTATCGAGTTGCGCCTTGTTACAGAAATGTATTTTTTGCCTGCATTAGTAAAGCATGGGGTTCTTTCTATTTAGCGTAATTTTCCCTTACAACCAAAAGATCCCACACGTTCTTCACATGTCTTCGTATTACCAGGAGATATATTTTAGCTTTAAGATGTGTTTAACTGAATGAAAAACATAGTGTGCCTGCTCTAAGAGAGAATTCTTGCGATTAAAACGATTGTAGGCAATTCCTGTACCATATCAGTTTCATTTTGCTTGGGTTTGTTGTTGTATCTCCTCACTGTTTGACATAGCTTGATGTACATCCAGTGACACTGTTTATTAAATTAGCCTTAATTATTTTCTTCCATAATAGCACATCTGAGATCTGTATGCTTTGATGAGACATGTCACGTCAAACGATTTTGTTTGTTTTGTAACATTATTCTACTCAAGCATAATTTTAGCTTGTGCATTCAGTAGCACATGTGGCCCCTTACAGCAAGTGCCATGCAAGTGATTTTAAACCATTCACCTGAGATTATTGCTGCACAAAGCACAACCCAAACCCCTAATGAGTCAAACATGGGGTGGAAATATTGCCTTGCTGAAAAATAAAGCAGGCATTAAATGGGCCATAAAGTATTGTAGGAGATTGCCTTGATTTCTAACACTGTAGCACCATCAAACTGAGATGTACAGGGAAAGAAAATGTCAACTTCAAGTCTGTCCTTCTACAAAGTTCATTGGGTTTCAAGTAAAGCAACCAACTGCAAATAAAATAGGTCTTTGTAACACATTGGATGATGTAAAAATGTATCTTCTGGAGTATTAATCAAAATGGCAAACAAAGCCCATTTACTGTCATATACTTGCGCTGTGTTGTGCTGTTGGTCCCTGTGTGTCACTTCTGTCTTTACCTCTCAGGTCCAAACTGACAAGCAGCAGAGGACACTATTTATTTGAATTATTTATTGTCTTAATAGTATTTTACCTCTTTTGAATGAAACTGTCCATGCATTCCATTTTCTTTAGCCAAATAAGCACTACTAATGCAATGAAAATCTTATATTCTTTTCTCCTTGTATTTATTGTTATACATCCGTGTCATGAATAGTCGTGTAAACTGAAAGCTATGTGAGTTCAAATGCATCATGTCTTGGGTTCCTCTACACAAAGTAGTTTCTTCACACGTTATTCACGCTTTTCACTCTTCTGTCAGAGTAGATCGGTCCAAGGTTGATGATGTGTAAGGGTTACAATCTATGATCGGTCCTTTCTTAACCCAGCAGACTGTTTGTGTCTGTGTTTGTTCAATTTTACCTCTCAGAAGGTTACAGTTTTATAAAGTTCATTTTGAAAGATTTTTCAACTACAATTTCATAGAAAAGTATTTCAATATTAGAGGGTGAGCACCCAATATTTTCTTTCTTTAGTTTTTATTTTTGTATATTAGCACCCGGGTATTAGCAATGTAGACAAACTGTGATCTTGTCATTCTTGGCTGTCAGAGATGATTCAAATAAAATTATTTACGGAAACGCTGAATTTGTGAGGTGTTTTTTTTTGTTTTGTTTTTTTTTTAATTCAGATAAAGATGTTGTTCGGTTAAATTGAAAATGAATGTATGGTAACAGATTTTTATTTTATTTTTTTGAAATCAGTGAAATTTGCAGCTTTGGTTGCCAGAAGTTTCCCATAAAGAATGAGGTAACAATATTTTAAGTTTTACCGATTTAATTTAAATTTACAATAAAATATTAAACTATTTCATTCACTGAAATTACCTTTATAATAAACTAAAAGCCACCTTAACAACACAGGTGGATAAGTAAAGCCACATGAAGAATCAGAGTTCATCACAAGTAGCTTTTCCACAAGCTGAGCTAATAAAAGGTGGGCAGTGTCATGCATACAAACACGAAGCACCATCATGGTAACACACATGACCTTAAAATACTGCAATAGACATTAATTTAACAACAGAAGATGTAACATAAAATGTACATAACTGAAAAAAAGACATCAAATGTGAACTGTCACAGGGAATTCTGGGAATGTCAATAACGGTTTTTAATCATTTTTATTTTTCACTTCTAAAAACTACATTTAATAGCATTTTCTGTAAAATGACATTAAATGTCTCATTAGATCTGTTACAGATTTTCAACGTGTAGCTATACTGTAGGGACTTACCGTTAACCAGTTAACAGGTTTTTAATGTTTTTTTTTTTTAGTCTTTTACCATTAAAATTACATTTTCAAGTCATTTTTTAAAGACCAACAAAATCTGAATGAAAACATGCTTTATTTTTGGCAGAAGAGTATGAGTCATGGAG